CACAAAACATTTTCGTTAATGATGGTATTTTTTCTCTGGAACATCGCGAAGATAAATCAGTTTCCGGATTTTCTTTTGAGCTTTCATTTTAGTTTTTAATTGTGGATGTTCCACTTGTGAAATCGGTTCGAGTCTAACACCATTGTGAGTTTGACTATCTCCCCTTCGAAGAGCTCTTGCTTTCTTTTTCTTGTTCCAGTATTCCTCGTCCCCATTGGACGAATGCTCGTACTCAGGAATGGCTGATAAACTAGGAACTGTGTTCAAAATAGTGCGAGGGGATTGTTTCGGAGGAGGTGACGTCACAGAAATTTCTCTCCTTTTCTTTGCCTTTTGAAACATTATAGCATTTTCTGGAATAATGTTTAGCTGAGGTTGATATAGTGTCATTCTTTTTGCCCTCTTTGGTCTAATTTTCAAAGCATCGAACGATAGCGCGGGAACGTCATTGTCAGACAGATCCCCACTGGTAGACGAGTCTTCGCTGCTTTTTGTGTCGGATCTATCGCCGTCGTTTGAAGAACTGCTATAGCTAACTACAGTGGGTTCAAATAGATTTCCGTAGCTATCATTTAATTTACCTTGATTATCACTTTCGTCATCAAATGACGGAGTTGGTGAGTCTGATGATTTAGTTGCCTTGTCAGAATCTGGTCTGTCTCTGTGTTTGGCGCCATGCGGACGCATTGACCGTCTGCTAAACGCTTCGTTCTTAAGCATCTTTATCGCCTCCTCTTTCGATGCTTTGTTTCTGATACTGAAATCTACAAAGTCGTAAAGGTCAGATGCACTAACAAAACTTATTTTCACGTGATGCGTACGTTTGTTGAGTCGGTCAGGAAGTGCCGGAAGTGCTAACTTACTTCCGGGTTTATTGTACAAACGTCTAGCTTTTTCAGCCTGACTTCCAATAAGTTCGTCAAGAGATGCTGGCTTTCTCTTATTTTTCATAACCGGAAACTTAGGAATATGTTTCGCATGAACCACAAGAGGTAAAGACTCCGGTGAAGAAAACCTATCCGGCTCAACGAACTGGCGGGAAGTCGCAATGTTGCGCATGCGTTCTGTATATGCCAACATTGAGTCTCTCAATACCTTCTCTCGCGCACCCATTTTGTTTACGTTTCCGTCGAGTTCTCTTTCGTATCGAATTATTTTTTTATCACATTCCTGTTTTGCACGGGAAAGACTTGAGCTGACGTGGCGGGAATTAGGTTCGCCGTTGTATGCATTAGTATGAGATGATCCAGAAGATGTAGACATCACATTTGGTCACGTGTCCATCGTGACCTTCTGCTGAGATTTGGAGAGTTAATTTTCATTGACGAAGGTAACATGATCTGCAAAGTAAAACAAAATACATTTAATTTATTTTTGATATTCGAACATCGATATTGGTAAACCCTGCTTACAGAAAAAAAATCTGAATACAATATTGTCATGTTTGTGTCACCCCGTCAATATGACTTTTCACTTTATAGAACTTGATGAAACCCTTTTGAACTTTCGACCGTTTAGTGTTACATTGTACGATACCCACTTAATAAGGTATTAACTGGTCAATTGCGCAATCCAGATCGGGTGGTCATTACTGTAAATAACACCTATCACGGACATTGCTCAGTGGTATCGGGAACTTAACGTCTAATCCTATCATAACATTGTATGGCATAATTCAACATGTGCTCTTTAA